ATCCCAATAGGCCACCCACCAACAGCATAAGGATAAAGCTCCCCTTCCGCCGCAACAACCTGCAGCCTAGCAGACCTGTCCCTTGGGTTGGCTACGCCACGATTGCCCACTGCCGCCACGCAATGACACCAGCAAAGACGTCATCTACTGAAGCTGGTTTTACGGAGGGACAGGCTGTCCTAGCACACCCCGAGGACACTCCTGCACAGGTAGCCCTCCTCACGCACCTGTGTCACAGCAGACGGTAACGTCACGTTGAGCCCCAAGAGGCAAAACGCCTTCCCGTGCGGCTTTCTGGGCCCTACAAGGACACTTCCCACACAAACACGTCTCTCGCTCCTGCCTGCCTGCGTCCGTCTCCTTCTGTCTCTATCGTATTCATCCTCATTAATATCCACTGGATTAAATCAGATGAAAATATAGCCAGTGAACATTATGCTGTTCCCCCCCCCCCTTTCTTTATTTTTCTTTCAACAACCTCTCTCCTCTGTGAAAGGGCCATCCAGAAACAAAAAATGACAAAACAATAAGTTTCTGAAGCCTCCCCGTCCCTTTCTCTGTCCTGCCTTCTCCCATGCACTCTCCTCATGTCCTCAAGAGAGATCAGGCTCACATTCACTGGTGTTACTGAAACTGATTAACCTACAGCTTTCCCGTAGCAACCCCTCCCAGCCCACCCCTCTCAAAAAACAATTCAAGCTTTGAGTCTAGAGGGACTCAATGATTCAGCGGTCTAAAGCAATTTTAACACTCCCTATTTTCCCTTTCCTAGTAACAATCTTACTGACAGATGAACAATTTCCCTGGTGATAAAATCACTACAATGGCTATTTAGTTTCCAGGATTATGATGATTCTTTGCTTGATTAATATTGCAATAAGAAAAGCTTGCCAAGTATCTGCCTTGGCCCTTTATAGTCATTTAAAGGTCAAATTTTGTCCTTACGTATTCACATTCAACTACTACTAAAGGGAGAGCCCTGAAAATTTAACAGTGCACAGACTGTGCATTTATGATTTATATACCAGAGGCTCAGAAAATTAGACAGAAGCAAGAGGAGTTATGTCCTAAGGGCGATGACAGAATTGGCCATAAGGTTTTCGCCAGAGGAAAAATATCATTGATGACCGCAATCTCAATTGTGTATTTAGTAGCAGACAAATCTAAATTAAATGCATGAGCAGCCATCTATTTTTTGATAGAAAGAATCGTTTGTGAGAGTCGGATAATAAGAAGCAGTTGTACTAAAGCCAAGGTCCTCTAAGGTATATACACCCTTAGCGCTCACTAATGTCAACGGCCGTGATGCTAAACTGCATGATTCAATATACCGTATTAAGTGGCGGGTTGTCGCACAACGTATAGTGATTTCAGACATTAATTCTTTGAGAAATCTTAGGAGCATGTTGCAATAAAATGACATATAAAAACTGTTAAGTGTGGGAGACAGCTAGAACATCCTAAAATATGCTAAGGCTACAGTCGCAGCAGAAAAAAAAATCAATCCCCCTGCTCCCAGCCCCACAAAGAGAACTGAGAGAAATGCCATAAAAGCAGAGCGACCTCCCAGTTGCGAGCATGGAAAGACGTAGGGAGAACTGGATGTCTATTTTGACATGTACAGAACATCATCGGAAAGGAGCTCCAAAGAGAAGTTGGATCCAATAATGCGTGAGGTGAAGCAAGTAATGACTGTAAAACAGTGAACAAGTTTCAGAATCAATTTACCCACCACCACAGAGAGATATTGACAATTAGAAATAATGAAGACTTGCCAATACAATTGTTGATACAAAAAAATCAGGTAAGGGAATACTTGCAAAAATGTAATATACAAATCATCAGGTCTGGATGACACGCATCTGAGCGTCTTCAGGGAATCAGTTAATGAACTTGCTGAACTACTGGCAATTATTTCTGAGAATTCATGCACAATCAGGTAGGCACCAGAGGGCTGGGGTGGGGGTGGGAAGAAAAACAACGCTAATTTGAGAAAAGGAGGATTAAATGAAACTACCGTGCATAAAATTTACCTTTGAATATTAGTAAAGTAAGAGATCAATGTTAAAAAAAAATCACAAGTGCCTCTAGGGCAAGAGGAGCCTCAGAACAGAACAGACTCAGATTTGACAAGAACAGGCAAAAACCAAACTTGACCACTTTATTGAATCACAAAGATCAGCAGGTGAGAAACTCATCCACTGCCGTGTCTTTCCACACAGGTCAGTCCGACAACTCGGGGGCGGTGGGAACCTGGGGAATCACTTACGACGGGTTATGACCTTCACCGCTCTAACGGCCTGCGGTCGCCCTCACCTCTTGTTTGCAAATGAGTCGCTTTACTTCAGCCAAGGAGACCTCACAATACCTGAGATTTATGGTAAGGCAGCTCCCGGCGCCGTGCCGTGCCGTGCCCGCGCTGGCTCCAGCTGCGAGCAGCACGTCCGCCAGCACCCACAACAGTGCACGTGGCATCTCTGCAGGCTGGGTCCAGACTCAGCACCTCACCTCCACTCATCTCATCGCTGTTCCTCGCCGGGTCGCAGTTTGGGACCCTGCTCTCCGCAATTACTACCGCAAGTCTGGAGCAGCACCACGGTTCATCAGGTTCACTACATTTCAGCTGAAGAAAGGCGTAACTGTGCATCTATGAGACAAGGTACAGAAGCTCAGAATGTCTTAGAAACTGGGCACTGGTGCGCTTCTTGGGAAGTGGCTACAGCATCGGGAAGACAAACAATAAGTAACGATACGGGGTTGAAAATACACCTATGAGGTCCCAGAGGGATTGGTATTAAGGCTTAAGTCTTTTAAACATGGTTATTAGTGATCTGAAAGAATAATGAGAGCACTTATTAGGTAACTAGATTAATTAGCAGATGATATATTGAATAGGAGATAAAGCAAACATAAGGGACAGAGAAATAATCATTAACAAAGGGCAACCTAAATGTGTAGGAAAAATAAGGAAGGGGAATAGCAAAAAATGAAACTGGGACTGGTGCTTGCAGGGGCGGCTGTGCAACACGACGGGGCGAACGATCCCGGTGGCCATGTGCACACACGTGTGCAAAGGCGTTTTCGCCGCCTCCCCTTTCCACTTCCACTCAGGAAAAGCAGCTCTTCACCCCGCGGGGCCGACGAACTCCTCCGTCTGAAAGCACCGTGCCCGCCGAGGGAAGGAGCTCGGCAAGCCCCATAATTCACTCTTGCGGAGCGATTACCGGCTGTGCGGGACAAAGGTGCCCTCCTCCGGTGCCTGCCCACTGCGCCGGACAAAAGCCTCCTCCCGCGGTGCTCAGAAGATGCGGGGCACAATGGTGGCCCCCCGCCGCGTTTACAAGATG